AAAGAGCAAATTGACCAGCAGAACTTCATTCAAAAATTTTAAATAAATTCTTTTAAAAGTAAGTTTGATACCTGAAGAAAAAGTGTAGGGGATTGAAACTGCAGATGAAATCTGGCCAGTACTTTTGGTTTTATTAATAATGCATGATACTCTTATTGTTTTATGTATTAGGAAGATGCCTTGTGACATCTTGGAAATCCCAAATAAAACATTATTTTCCCCTTTACTTGCGGGAGGACTGTATGCACTCAGATGATGCAGGTTGTGTTTTCTGCTTTTCCAAACTTATCAACCTGCATCAGAGCTTATAAAGTGCTGCTGAGTCAGAACAGTCTCACTTAAGAGTCACAGTGCACTGACTTTTCATAGGCAGAAATAACTTCCCATAATATATAGCACCCAGAAATCAGGCCATGGTATTATCATTTCTTTGTATTGATAAAAGCTGTATTTCGTATTCCATTATAATTATTTAACCTTTGATATCTAACCTCTGGGTCAATTTGCTCTTTATAACAGCGCATTTCTTCTCCAGTTTTGTTTCTATATTTAGAAAACTTATGCTCTGAAAGAAGATTTTTAAACTGTTTTTTAAAAAGTATGTTTAATCTAGCTCATAAGTTGTGGTGTTTCTCTGCAACCTACAGTTTATCCTTCCAACTCAGATAACATATTGCTGCTTTTACCACACTCAAAGAAATACTTCACTTTTCAAAGTGTATTTTAGTCTTCAGAGTGTTCTTTATCACATAGGCAGTCCATATGTAATAAAAATACAGCCACTTTTACTGCAAATAATACTAGTTTACTCTCTGTCTTTTGTAATTTTTCCCTCTATCAGTATTTTTGGCAATGGAGATTAAACAAATATACCCTTTGCTGACAATCCAGTGTACAACTCTGGATGTCAGGAGGAATGCAGAGTTCTAAAAATAGCACATTTGGTTCCTATGGTGCAAGTGGAGCTCAGAGACACAGAGTGTCACGTCCCTCCCAGACAATGGCTGTTCATCACCTACATCCCCCCAGCAAAACAACCTTTTCAGCTGTGTTTTGGTTCTCAGCATTTCACACACAGAGCAGTCAGTGGGCAATCTTCTCCTCCTCCCTGAGACTCACAAGTTTTAACCCATATCATCTTGGGCTTGGAAAAGAAATAGCCACCCAAAGGGTTTATTTATTGTATTAAACTGTGAATATCACTGGTTTTCCCACCTTCAGGGAGGAGAGGATCCCTCCTTCCCCTGTACAGAGCCCTCTGTCTGTTCATACACTGGAGGGACTGACAGAAGAGCTCTTCTGGAAGTGGGGTGTTGTACCAGCATTGCTGAAGGCAGATTTGGGCCCAGCATATCTGACATTCCAGAATAGGAAATCTGCAAGTACAAACTCTATTTAGACATGAAAATCAGGGAGATGCCCAACTATTCAACCTGCCTGGGCAAATCCAGCTTTTTGTGCACCCAGAAACAGCCAATAAAGTCAAGTGGTGAAGCTTTACCCTTGAAAACAGTGTGTGACAGTTCTGTGATTAACCCTGGCATTTACTACTATCTTTATATTAGGGATTTATGAGTCCATTATAACTTTGAGTATAATTTCACTCACGGGCATCGGCCCTACGGGAATAAAATGAAAACCTGTCCATAGCCAGAGAGCAGTGTTAGCCCCACCAGGCTTTGTGCTATCACAAATGCAAACTGTCAGTGTCTCAATCAATACCCATGCATGCTCAACAATAAAGACATAGTGCTTCAGATGGGGGGAGATTAACCCTATCAGATTCAGCAGCTGTCCAGGAAAGACAGGATCTGGGACACAAACTGATTATACTTAAAAGATATCTCACTAACTATAAAAATGGTAGAGCTGTGAGGCACCAGCAGTAACCCCACTTTTGGAATGTGGAGTGTTCGCTTTAATACACAGTGAAACAACTCACTCTGGGTCTATGGCTTCTGCTCTCTTCCCCATGTTGCTGTGCCTGCTACAAGGATCAAATTTCATGGTTTATTGTTCTCCCTCCAACTGGCCACCATCCACATTCTTCTTCTGTACAAAGCTGCACCTCTTGCTTCAAAGAAGAGAGAACTATGCCTTCTTTTTATAAATTTTAGTCACATTTGCAAACACACACACAGAGTAAGGGGATAACTTTTAGGCACTAAACAACATTTCAGGGAATGCTGTTATTTTTCTCGGTGTAAATTTATTTGAATGAGGCTAAAAAGGGGAAATTTCCACCAGAAATTTACTAATTTTTGAGATGCAGAAGTTGTCTCCCCTGTCTTCTGAATCTTTAATATTGTGCCTTTTAATGAAACAACTGCTCCATGCTTGCAGAATCCTATTCTTCACCTACCTCAGGAGGGAATTGGCACTGAAATTCTGCAAAACTTAAATTCAGCTCAGGATACACGGCTGGAAATCAAAACCACAGACACTGGGGCTACTTCACTCTAATGGAGTAAAATTGGTACAGAGCAGGTGGGGTCCAAAATTCAGTACCAATCTCTCAATGTAAATAAGAAATCTATTGCAGACAAATAACAGATCTCCATGCTAGATTCCAAGAAACTTAGTATCTCAGATTCAAGGATTCCTACAAAGAAGAATTTTTCTATGCAATCTAACTTTTAATTCAGCACTCAGGATACATTTTCTTCTTGGAGATTTGCAGTAAATTTGTCAAAACCTAACAAAATGCTCCACTCTTGAACATCCACCATCTTTCTTCAGCAGCTCAACAGACTGTAAAACTGAAGTACTGTCATCTGGTGTGTAATTATTGTAATAAGTGTTCCTTGTAAAATGAAGGAGGCACCATAAGCTTACCTAACAAGTCTGAAAATGTAAAATGCTCATCACCCGTAATCATTGTCTTAACTGTCCTTGATCTTTACTGATAGCAGCAATATTATTAATAACTCTCTCTGACAGTGAGAATCAGCTGAAAATGCAGCACAGGCAGAGCACCAGGAAAGTTGCTCAAAGAAGGAATATTTTGGCCAATTAGACAGACTCACTTCAGGATTATTTTATTTTATTTTTTTTGTGTCTAATCAGTGATGCAAGGGGTTCAGAGGTATAAGATTAAAATGCAAGGCAGGGAAAACTGGGGCATAGAAACTTCAGGAATCCAACAAGGATGCTCCAACTTCACAGACTCAGTGGTGAAGCCAAAATAAAAACCTCAAAGTTTGTGGACATATGATCAAAAGCAATCATATCACTGTGGTTAACAATTTATTAGTCCTCATCTAAGATGCAGGAAAACACTATGAATGTATTCTTCACCCACACCTGCCTCCAGCATAAAACTGGTGGGCAGTAATTAATGGAACTGCTGCACTTTGCTCCCTTTCAATTGTATGTTTATCCACAGGCCAGCAAGACTCTCTACTCTGTTTAATCTGGGTCCCACAAACACAAGCAAGGTCCTCATGTGGTTGAAGCAACAAACTGCTCTATCTTTGTTGAATAAGGCGTCCTTCACTAGAAACCCCTTAAAGAGCACTAGATGTGCCCCATTGTAACATGTTCTACATCTGCATAAGCAAATTCAGTGAGTCACCAGTTCCCTGCCACGTATTTTAGGCTGCTGCATGAAATAAGGGAGAATGAAGTGTTGGAACTTGGAAAAGAATGAGTTGATCCTGAAGAGGCACAGTGGCAATGCACTTCACTGACTTACCACTCAGAAGCTGGTATTTAGTAACTATCCCCTATTTCTCACTATCATAGGACATTATGATATTTAGTTAAACCAGCATTACACCAAGACTGATGAAACCCCCCTCCTTAAGAACCAGTCACTTGTCAGGGAAGAAGAGAAAGAAGACCTGGCTCTGGAGTGCATTTGACACTTCAGCTCTCAAGCAGACCCCAGTAGAATTTAGATCAGTCTCTGCTTTGCTGGGAGAAAAGTGTCTCTCTCAGTCCTCCCCAAGCTGCTGATGGAGTGACTGTGTGCACAACTAAGCAGCTTGGAGTAGTCTGCTTACAAAGTGTTGGTGCAGCCTAACAAAGCCCTTGGTTTGGTGGTGAGATTCAGTGTTTCCCACTATTCTTCTAAACAAAAAGACGTTTATTCTTCACAGCCAGGCTGCTCTCAAGCCCAGTCCCTGAGCCCTTCCCTGCTCCCAGGACCCTGTTCACAGTACATCTCTCTGATCTGGGGTAGTAGCAGATTCACTCCTCTCAATGAGTCTCAGTCTTGCTGGACAGAAACCAGGGCTGTGCCTCACTTTTTCTAGCCGCATTTTTGCATTTACCAGCTCAATTGGTATCCCCATGGGTGGGGAATGGCCCTCATCCAAAGCAGGGAATGGCTTCTGGCAAATGCTAGAAACAGGTATTTCAAGTCTGCCTCTTTGCTATTCAGGAGCTGTACTGTTTGACCTGCTGTCCATGAAGGACACACTAGCTTCACTTCTCACCTCACCTGATCTTTTCTAGCCTCAGAAACATAACACAGAGATGAATTTGTTGAAGGGCACTAAGCTAAAAAGAAGATATTCCCTCTGAAAAGATAACATGAAACATGCAACTAAACTATCTCTGGACATTATTATATCAGCTAAAAGAGACTATCACCTATACATGTAAAAAAATTATTTTAAAACAGCACAAAGTTCTCCACCAGGCTAAAACGGGCAATGCATGGTGAATTACAGCACATTTTTAGTTGAAAAAATAAATTTATTCTGATAACACCAGAGGTTGTTATTGCTTTGTCCATGTACGCACTGTGCACACCTCAGAAATTCAGTGACGTTGCATTTGAAACACAAACAGAAAAGCAAAAATAAGAAAATAAATTACTCAGTATTTTCACATAAGCCATGTAAGACGGAAGACAGGTTCTCACCTGTCTGCTTTGAGATAGCAGTGTGGCAGCTTGCATCTGTCTCTGCATCCGATGTGGCTGCATCAGCTGTCGGAACTGCTGCTGGAGAAACTGGCTGTTGTTGGTCTGCTGAGACTGCTGCGTGGCTGAAGATTGCTGCTGCGTGGCTGAAGATTGCTGCTGTGTGGCTGAAGACTGCTGCTGTGTGGCTGAAGATTGCTGCTGTGTGGCTGAAGACTGCTGCTGTGTGGCTGAAGACTGCTGCTGCTGCTGCTGCTGCTGCTGCTGCTGCTGCTGCTGCTGCTGCTGCTGTTGCTGCTGCTGCTGCTGCTGCTGCTGCTGCTGCTGCTGCTGCTGCTGCTGCTGCTGCTGGAGATAGTGAATGAGGGACTGCTGTCCTTGTCCTCCTGTCAGAGGGGACATTTTTTCAGTAGCTGACTCTGAAGCAAAGTGAGACAGTGGTTTGGTGTTGTTGAAAGAAAACTGGTCTTGGCTAACAGAGCTCTCATTCACCAGACCTGGCTGTAAGCTACTGGATGGCTGTTGCATAATTATGTTCATATTTTTGGTCTGGTTTGTAGTCATTGATTTAAAAAGTGAGTTCTGCATACTTGTGGGGTTGCTGCTGGAAGTGATGTTAGAGATTAATGTACTTTGAGGACTGAAGGGCTGTTGATGCAGAGCAGGGCTTGACAGCTTTTCTGGCCTGTATGGTGGAGAAGGTCCAGTATTTGTGGAGGCTATGCTGGCAACCAAGTTGTTCTGTGGGCTTTTAATGCTGCTGGCTGGCAAGCTGGCTGATGTCAGAGCAGGTAGCATGGAGCTCTGAGGACTGAAGGGCTGCTGGCTCAGAGCTGGACTGGAGAGCTTCTCAGAGCTGTAAGGGGGAGAAGGGCCATTGGATGGGGTGCTGCTGGAAGTCATGCTTGAAAGCAGAGTGTTTTGAGGACTCTGAATGCTGTTTCCTGGTAAATTATTAGCAGGCATGCCAGACACCATAACATTCTGAGGACTGAAAGGTTGATGATGTGGGGATGATCCTGCCCTGTAAGGCGGGGAGAGACCAGGAGGAGACATAGTTGTCCAGCTGGGACCCTGAACTTGTTGCTTGGTACCAGACACCTGTTTGCTGGCTGCCAGCTGTTTTAGCTGCTGAGCATGCCAGTTGGAGCCAGGCATGTTGGGCAAGGGTACTGGGAGCATCAGTGGAGGCTGACTTTTGTTCTGAGCTGTTGTAGAGATGGGCGATGCAGCAGGTTTGTTTGAGGGAGGAACTTGGAAGTTAGCTCCAGCAGATGATGGTCTCATCTGAGGGGATCCTCCACTGGTTGGATTGCAGCCTGGAGAAAAATCTTTGTTAGCAACATGGTTCTCCAGGTGGGAAGTCTGTGGGGAGGACTTTGGAGTGGTACTTATGTTTGGTTGGGAATGACTCAGACCAAGAGGATCTTCAGCTTTGCTGCACAAAATCTTCTCCAGATCCAGGTCATTGGGAGAAGGATCAGGCATTTTGGTCAGCTCTTCCAATAGATCTTGCAGCTCTTGGTCCACAGACTGTAAGCTGTTTCCTTTCTCATCATAATGGACAATGTTGTTGGTTTGCCCTCCTATTGACCCCTTCTGATTTATTTCGGTGTTGGATGGCACTGTGAATGGGGAGCCAATGCCACCACCATTCATGTGATTGTTTTCAAGGAGCACTGGGTGCCCTGTGACTCCCAGGGAAGAAGTGCTATGACCAGTGGAGAATGAAGAACTTTGCATTTCTGGACATGCCATGCTGGGACTGGAACCTTGGCCCATGGTGAGATTTACATCATCAAGACAAAGTCTTTTACTGTCATTTGGGAAAGTGACATCAGGCATGCCATTGGAAGCAGGAGAGCTATCATCTTCCAGTTTTCTTTTAATGGATCCCTGTAACTGTGAAAATATAAAAGGAAGTAGAAAGGATCCATTATTGACCATCCTATTATGACATGCACTGAAGCTCCATCCTACCATACCGGGTTGGAGATAAAGAAAACTAAATCATACAATTAAAAACCTAACCATGAGAGACAAATTCAATCAGGATTTAAATGTGTTCAACTTCACCGAAATCAAAAGAGTTATAGTCAGACAAAGGCTAAATCTCATGAGCTGGCTTTAAAACAGATGTTAAAGCTACAAAATACTGTCTGTCACATGAAGTGTAATAGAAGTTTTTAAAGTAGTTTCTGGTTGTATTTCAATTAAGGCATTATACTCCCTGTATAACAAGCATGTCAACATTTTTATGGTAGCATTTTTTAGGTCTAAATAGCAAATCTGAATGAAACCCCGGACTGAATTTAGTTGCCTTCTGCCAGTGACTCAGATTAAATTCAGACCAGAGACAATTACATTCTTTATAGGCCAAACATCTGAAATAACTAGCATACTTTCTAAACAAACAAAAACAAAACACATTCTCAGCTATCTGTCAAAACAGACTTTCAAACTTCCTAATCACAGATGTTTTAAATTCCAGTAAGAGTAAGTAACAGCTAAACTTTTCAATTTTTGTTTATTCTTCTATGTCTAAGGCATTGTGATCTTCATTCTTTTGAAGAATTGCCACTCATTTATAAAAATGGACATGTTTACAAAATACAATTATATAATTATCTTGATCTACAAGAAATGATGGAGCTGTAAATTCACAAATCTTAGGGAAAAGAAACCTGCCTTCTACATATAAAGGAAGTGAAACTGAAAACAATGCTTCTCATGCTATTTCAGCATATGGCAATCTCTTCCACATAAAATCATCTGTGGCTTTCAATTTTAACAAGCATGACCTGTATGTCTCAGGATTAATCAGACCTTAACATTGCTGCTTCAAGTTAAGGGAAATAAGCATTATGACCTTGTTTATCAATAGAGGGAAGCAGTATATAGAAAAGTATCTGATCAGCAATGGGAAAACCAAAGAACACTGGCTCCTCTAAGCCAGCTCCCAGTAAAGCCTCTCTGAGCTCTGGGCTACAAATCCAAGTGCTTCTTGCATAAAGAACTACTTTTATGTAGTGCCATTAAAAAAATCCCATCTAATACAAGGTCACATAACCAGAAAAGTCCCCCCACCAATCTCAGCATAACCAGACCCACACTAAGGCTATGCTGCATATGACCAACTTCTAAATTTTACACTAATTTTTAAACACATCAGTTATGCCTCAGTCACTGCACACACAGCTGCAGCACATCAGTGCTCTCAGACAACAGTGTCACAGCACTGTCACCACAGGATATGTGAAGGCTGCAGGACACAGGGTGGGTTCTATGTGCAGCTCCTTCTACACTGTGCAAACAGATGATATCCACCCCTAAATTCAGCCCATCTTCACTCAATCACCCACAAACGTGTATGGCTCTGGCCTGGGAACATGGCAGGGCTGCCTGGTGGCTCACTCAGATGGTCTCACACCAGTGCCCTCTCATTGCTTATTTCTAAATTGTGGGCAGAGGGACAATGGATTGTGCCTACCGTTGCTGAGGGTGTCGATGCAATTTGGGATTAGTATCAGACATCACCACGCTGGTATCCAGTTTACAGAGACTTTTGGAGGAGAGTGACAGGATACAAGCTAGTTGTCTGTGATCATCATGGCAAGTCTGCAGACTACAATGAGCTGCTGAGCAGCTTTTTAGGAGGTGCTCATCTACCCTCCATCACCAGACATAGCAGCTTTGGCATTGTGGCAGAGACCTTTTCATATGAGTATTTTCCTTTTACTCCCCAAGAGTTGTCCCTTACAGATTTATTAGTGCTTGTCTCTGATGATCTCCAGTCATATTGCTTTAACATGGGCTGTGCTCAAAAACCACAGTGTGTGGAGAACTGAGGAGAGCTGCTTCCAGTGCACATTATCTGGTTACCTGAGAGTCTCTTTGGACAGCAGTGTCTGTGCTGGGCCAGGATTGCTGCTCTGTGAGAGACTGTCCCAGTGTCACAGCCAGACACTGCTGCACCACCAGGCATTTGCTAATGATAATTGAAAAATTTGCTTAGCTTTAGGAGATGGAACAAGGTCTAAATCTTCTCCCAAGTGTTAGTCTAATGATGGATGAAATTGTTTTCCTTCATTTTCTCTGCAAAAATTAAGCCAGAGTTGCATGTTTCAACAGATGTTGCCCTGTGTAGGCTGAAACATGTTGGTAGAGCATAACTATATATATTCAAAACTCAGACATGTATAGAGAGTATTTACAAGGGCTTCAGACATCCAAAATAAACAGAGTGTGCTCCCTAGTTGCACCCTGGGAACCTCCAGGCAGGAAGTGGTGGGGGATCTCCCACCCTTGGCCAGCTGACATGCTGGCGTGCATGACCTTGCCAGCTCTTCCTTTGCCATGGGACATTCCTATGCCCTGAGTTACTCGGGAAAAATGTGGGCTTGCTAAACACTCTGAAAAATAGTTTTTTAACTGTTGCACTGGGGAATAAATGTGATGGCAAAACAAAACTTAATTTCCTTAGACTGTTACTAAATATAAGCAGATAAAATAAGGCCATAGCTTTCCGATGGCACAGGTATTCCAAAACTGGAACAGGACTTTTAAATAGTATGCTTAGCCCTCCAGAGAAGATTTGCTGCAGGAGAGGCAGTGAAATTAGCTGGGTATCATGTTCTCTTGAAAAGCAAGATTCCTGTTTCCTGGGTGAGTATTTGCACAACTACCATAAAATCCAGAAGACTGATTTCTCCTAGTGTAGGCAGGTATAACTCCACAGAATTTAGTAACGTTGCTTTTGTTTAAATTTGTTTAGATTTGACTACAGCCCCAAACTTGAGAGAGAAAGATACGCTCCTTAAAACAACTAAACAAATAATAGAATAACTCTGGTTAAAAGGGGCATTTGGGTGCCATCATCCTTCTGCTTCAAGCACATCACCAATGTAAAAGACAGACGATAGTGACCAGGCACTTAAGTATGATGTTTACATTATAAACAGAAATCCCTCCTTGCTCTGGCTGAGGTTGTTTTCAGTGTTCCCCACTGACACCTCAGTGGTTGTTATACCCACACAGCATGCTCTGGGCTGGTGCTGGCTGTGAGGAGCCTCAACTCAGTCACTTCTCTCCATGCACATGCTCCTGTGGCAGCCCCTGATCAGTGCAGGGGACAGTAACACAATTTCATTTTACTGGGACCCTGCCTGGCTCAGACACGCCAACCACAGTGGTAGCAGGAGAGCATCAATAAGGCACTACAACTTTTATGACCAGGAGGTCCTCACCTCAAGTAGTTCAAGAAGCTGTTTGTTGCAGAACAGTCATCTAGTACTCCCAGACACTGCAAGACTATCTCTTTGAAGCCTACCTATGTTTTTCTGGACTCTTCCTTACCAAAAATATTTTTACTGCCCACTTCCTTCATCTGGTTCCAGATTCTCCATGAAGGACGCAATTTATTCCAGCTTTTTCTCCTCTTTTTTTTACACAATTTGACAAAATCGACAGAAAAGAGAAGAACAGCAAAGCATGTTCTTCCCCTTTCTCTGCTGATTAGTATATTGGGCAGCTTTGCTTCAAACTGAATACCTGAGAAGTGAATGGAAATATTTTAGAAATGCATCACACATACATACACACACACACACACACACACACACGCACCCTTAGTCTGCTAAGCTGTCTGGAGGCTGTCTATGGCTTAGTATATGGCAAAACTTAATTCAGATGTGCAAGCAAGGACAAAGCACACAAGCAACAAAGGGGCTCTTGTGACATTGTCAAAATGCATTAGAATGCACTGGCATGCACAGGCTAACTTCTGTTTGGGAATACCTGGGAAACAAAGGCAGCTCTCTGATTCAGGGAATATCTGACTATGAGTTCTCCATTATCTCAGGTTTCCTTTCAGAAATGATCCCAGAACTACTGTCTTCTATAAACCAGCAGGCTGTCTTTCTGAGAAGGACCCAAGTCACTCAGGAGCAGTGCTGCTGGCTCGATATGGCAGCACAATCAGAACAAAAAATAACTATTTGCGCTGCTGTGTCCACAGAAGCTGCTCACTGGTGGTTATAAACAGCTAATTTGTCACATGCTCCCTACCTGCACCAAACCGATTCCCTCCATGTGGGCACACATCTGCCTTTCCCTCCATGAGTGCTCCACAGGCTTCTCTTGTGAAAGGAGAGAAGGGCAGCCTCGGCAGCACAAGCCAGCCCTTGGCTGTGCTTTCCTCAAGCTGGGCTTGCTGGGGCTGCCATGAGGGTGACGTTGGGCATCAGGCACCTTCCAAACTTAGGAGGTGGTGCTGGCCTTGAGGAACTTACTATTATTCAATTAAGGAAGAAAGGAAGGCAGGAAGTGGCAAAACCTGAAGCAGAGTAATGAAATTGTTAATACATACATAATGTGATGGTTCCATTGGATTTTAATAACAACCAACCACACATGGGCACCTCTGGACTGTGGCTTCCTGCTTTGCCAGCACTCAGCCTTTCTTTTCTTGTAACACACCAGCTGTCCTCAGTCACTACTCCAGCTCACCCAGTGAGCCAGGCTGCCCCAAGGCCCTCCTGCCAGCTCCTTGCCAGAATGTTAATTCTCCACCTGAAACTCATGCCTTCCCTTCCCATGTGCAAGTGGTAACCTTGCACATGGGAAGGGAAAGAAGAAAGAGCAACTGCATCCTATACTGGAGAGCCTTGTTTCTCCAGCCTCAAAATTGATCCGTCCACCAGAAACAAGCCACCTCTAACCAGAGATTCCTATTTAGGCCAACATACTGCAGAAGTGAGAGAGGGAAAACATTAGGCAAGGCATTTCAGTGCCTCTTCCTGTGCCTGCAGCCTGTCAGAGTCAAGTCTTGATTTACAGCAACTGCAGGGTGCTGATTATTGATCTGCACTACCCCACCCCACTCACCTCCATGGACAGATCCA